TTCTAAAGAATTGATTGGTGCTTTACACTAGCTAGTGATGGCAATTCACATTGTTTATACATAATTATTAACCCCTATCACATATTTTTCCCTGGTATTAACTTTTTTCATGATATTTTTTGATGATATTTTTTCATGAGATTTTTTCATGAGATTTTTTCATGATATTTTTTCATGGTATTTTTTCACCCAGCATTTCCTTGAATAAACGCCCATGAACTACAAAGTGTCCTCATCTGAATAAATGCCCACCCCCCTAGACCATAATGTCAAACAACCACCACCCCTCCCCCCCTAAAATAAACCCCCTCCTCCTCTTTTCACTTTTTTAGGGATGCAATGAAAACCTGTTTCTATTACCACTTATTTATAGCTATTTAAGTGTCAACTACAGCTGAATCGGTACAGCAGAATAATAAGCTCCCCCTTCAATTAAGCGCCCTTCTCCATTAAACGCAACACCTTTCAGCTAAAACTTTTTAATAAATGCTAAGCACTTATTTGAGGAAATGCAGTTATAAAACTAAGCTATCACTAGACCACTAGTAATTACATGTCTTTTAACCTCATGAAATTGTTTTTTGGTCTTTGGAACACCCACTTGTGCTCGGTTATTTCAAATTGTACTTAAAATTAAGGAATAAGCCATTTCTATTATTGATTTGGAATCTTGAAAAGTTTTCTCTGTCATTTTTTAACATTTGCAACCTTCTGTTACCCAATATCATTGCTAATTACCCAAAACAGCATGTTACCTTGAATATAATATTATCAAATGTAAGAATGCACTGAAAAGAGCCAATGTCTGCATCGTCAGCAGTCAGATATGGATCAAAATCTCTAACGGTCAGACTATGTTTGATATACCTTTACATAAAGTTTACAATCACTTTTCTGTTATCCTTTGTCAGACAGAGTCTGTTCCCATAGCAACATAGAACCAGCTGCTACATGCCAATCATTAGAGAATGACAGCTGTCAAAGATAAATAGGAAGCTGCTGCTGATCAAATGAACATAGCAGCAAAAGATGCCAAGCAAGCAGTAAGGTCTTGTATAATCAAGCTTGTATAATTGTGGCAAAATATTACTTGTTTTCAATCTTGATGTCAGGGCCCTTTGTTTTTGAACAGGTCTTGGTAATGAATCCTTTTGTCATAAATTTATTCCACAACACCTTTCTCAGTATTAATTAATTATATATAGTGAGTTAATAATCATCTTCTTTATCAAATTATGTCTTTCTTAGTCATCTAGTTGTATTCAGGTTTGTAATGTTGGTGGCAGGAGTTAAAATACTTTGATTTAAACACATTCTGTATTCATCAAGCTTTACATTTTAAATAGTAAATTAGGTCCTCATGTTTAAAGAGGGATTATTGTTGTTTAAAAATTCATACTAACATGAAATTTTACCAAGTTGGTCCTTTTCATATTTATTCAAAACAACTGCAGAATTTAACTCTGTTAGCATATTTAAAACCATACATAAAGGGCTAACATTTCTGTTCAGAGAAAGAACAGTCTATCTCTATAAACTTGTAGTGTAGAGGAGTGTGTAATTTATATTTCAGTGAATCATTTATGTCCGCTAATTTGTTTGCTTTTAGGCAACTGCTTACTGGACTGGATACACTGAAGTTCATATCACAACAGCTTGAGTCTATTGATAGAACAACAGATGTTCTTGTGTATTTAGAGAAGAGTTACCCCTTTGCAACCTAACATCGATATCCATATTTTCCATTCTCTTTTCCATGCATTTCGTTGAGAATGATAATGAAAACTTGTTTTAAAATTAAAGTTTCCTAGGTTGGCAATCGTTTCCTTTTTTCTCATGATTTTAATGAATGATTTAGCATAGTCACTTTTAGGGTTTTAAGGGTTAATATAGAGTGGTATACAATGAATGGTGATGGCTTGATACCTTACTGTTACCACCTAACACATGGCATTAGTCCTGCTCAGAATAGAGGTTTCTCCTTTTTATGAGTGGACTATTTTTAACAAATGATCAGTCTCAGTCAAAGAACAGATTTCATTCAAAATCCATGAGCTTGCAGCTAAGAAGAAAATTAACCAAGAAATTGCTTACCTCCTATGTTAACACTCTGCTTGTTTCCCCAAGAGAAAATTTTTTACAGCTGTAAATACTTACAGCTCTAGCTTTTAATAATAAGTCTTACTGAAAATGAAAAATATAACTTATTTTTTCTTTGGATGATCCTACAGTTTTGTTTAAGGAAATAAACTGGTTTACAACACTCAGTGGATTTTATAAATATCAGACTCAAGAAA